TGAATCCAGGGTGGCTGGTGTTGATGGCCTGCTGTTAAGGGATTCTGAAACCTTGCTGGCTGGTGTTGATGGCCTGCTGTTAAGGATCTCTGAATCCATGCTGACAGGTGTTGATGGCCTACTTTTAGGTGTGGCAATCTTGCAGTTACTACAAACCCAGGTTGTGTTGGCATTGCTTGGATACCGTTTGTATGACATGCATGTCAGATGAAAAAACTTCCCACTTGAGCATAATTCATTGTGACATTTCAATGACTTTTCATTAGGTTCAGCTTTCTTTTAGCATATGCAGATCTTTTCCAGCTTTGCTGCCCCAGTCAAGCACTGATCTTTCATATCTGGGAATTTCTTGGATTTTGCTCTTGTAAACTGAGGTAACCTTCTACAATGTGGGCAGTACCAGACTTTTGGTACTTTCAGTTTATCAATGCACAATCAAGACGGGTGAAATGTGGACACTTTGCATTCAGGATTAGCACAGGTAATTGTTCTTTCATTTGTGCTTTGTCTGCAGTAACAATCACCTGATGGCTGACTTTCCCTTGGACTTATCTGAGGTTTTAAGTCCACCTTTCTAGTGTACCAGCGAGCTAATATTTCTGGCAATACACAACTTCTCCAAAATTTCTCTAGCTTGGGGATTTGTGTCTCCCAGTGTTCAAAGTCTGGAAATAGTCTTTGCTTCACAAACCGATGCGATGTTCCATCTGTGGCAAACACAATGAAATCCAAGTAAGCTTTCCCAGCAGTATGAATTTGCTGTTGAGCTTGAAAGTAATAGTCATGCTCTCTTTTTAACATAAATTCATCTCCATGTTTCTCTAAACAAGAGGCTTTTATTTTCACATAACTGTCAAAGTCAAGCCCCTCGATGCAGAAGGGGCACTTTACTTCTCCACAGCCCTGTCCACAACAGTCATACTCACAAAGAAAGTCTGGGGTTGCATGCAAAAATGGATATTTCTTATTAATGATTGTCCCACATTTGGTGACAACAGAGTTCGCATGAGTCTCTTTCATGGTTTTTTCATAAACTGCAATAGCTAGCGCTTCGTGTTTACATCCATGTTTAGTGGCTGCTGTACTAAAACGAAGAATATTTGGATAACATGTGGTTTTGATCAAAGATTGCGATTGCTGTGATGGATCTGTGTGGTTCAATGCATGGCATTTTGAAGCACCTATCCTTCCAGCTCTGTGTCTAACAAAGGCACCTCCTTTAGCCTGATCAACAGTGTTCCGTTCAATTACCTTTATTTGTTCATCAGATATCTTTAAATCAACTTTGTAGCACTCCTGGAGTAGACCAGGGTAAGATAAATCACGACATTTCATTTCGTACAAATCTGGGATCGATTTAATATTTTATTGTCCCTCAGAATCTAGCACCACTTTGTTAAGAGGCTACACCGTTGTTTCTTGAACCAGGAATCGAAGACAAATAGAAGACTTACATACTTAACCTGTGCTTCTGTTTTCTCTTAGAAAAAAGCTCTTCTCTGCCTTTCTGTACTACTGAACTGTATCATAGAACTGTTGGTGCAGCCTGGCAAAATGCAGCCCTAGGTACTGAGCAAAAGAAGCGGGTTCCTGACTTTCCTTAGGTTAAAGTAACCCCATATAATTCTAGACATGAAAAACACTATTAATAAAAAGGCCATCGACTGAAATCCCTCTGTAGGTAATTCAGGAGACAGGAACACTTGAGAAATTAAGTAAAGAACAATCTCTTGGTATTTTTTCGCCAGTGAGTTACTTTTACATTGAGACATTACTCACTGATCTCTTAGGATGAAAGGAAAAGCTATTTGTCAAGAAACCTACATACAATTGTCGGAAAAGTTCGTTGGAACACTGTGAAAACCTTAAGAGCGCCTTATAGAAAGGAGAAAGGTTGCTTATCTGTTATACATTCCGTTATTCTATTATTTTGTTTACCTTTCTCTCCCCTCGTTACTGAACAACAGTGAAAATTTAATTTTTAGGGTTGCAACCCCGACAAAGGGGAAGAAGACTAATTCAAAACAGATTAGATGGCTTCAAAAAGAACATAAATTTTCTGAAAGGCAGTCAGAGGTACACGTAAACACAGTAGTTTTTTCTAAACTATTTGTAACTAACCGATAATAGTACTCGCTATTTGGCATTGTAGCACTGAAAAGCATAAATTTGCCAGCCATTCTTTGGCTTTTGGCGACAATAAAAATTATATATACTGTGTGATGATGGTGAAGGCTTAGTTGCAAGATCATCAAACAGGCTGTTTGGTACTTAACTAAAATTCCTTTACAATTTTTGCATTCTTTTGTAGTTAGTATCCTAGCTTTGCAGGGTCTCATGGATACCACCATAGTTGAATGAAGCCAACTTGTGAAAAGAGGGCCATTATAATTACATCTAATCAAGTTTATAGAAGAATGTCATAACCTGGAGGCAGCACGCCATTTTTTGCGTTAGCTTTTGATTATGTTATGAAAATTATGTTATTTGAGTGATGAAAGAAAGTTCACTTTTAAATCAAAGTCACTGGAAGCTGAAGACCACTGTGGAGAGGTCAGTACATCACAAGGAAACAGCCAGTAGGATTTTCAGCAACTAGAGAGTTCTTTTGACTCGCCTTTGTCTTCAGGGCTGTTAATCGCTTGGTTTGGTTAGCTCGTCAACCTCTAAGTCTGTAGCGTTAAATCTCACGACGTTTGTAACCGTCTTTGCCGGTCAGACAAACTGTTTGCTTTTTTTTTTACATGGAAAACTTGTTACCACTTTACTGGGCCAATGACGACCACACTCTCGACATTCCGAGTAGTAAGTAACGATTTTGATCGTCTTTGTTTCACCAAAACGTCCATGTCCTTTCGGGAATACTCCAACATTAGAACGGAATGTGTAATAGTAGATGTAGCGGTCATCATGGTGTTGGTCCTTACTTGCCATCAAACGGCCTGATCGAAGCAGGGCAATAACAACATTGAAAAACCTATGACGCGGCATGTTTTTTTCACAAAACATCGACCATCTCCCATGTTTTCTTTTAGGGTAATGCTTTCTGACGATGTGACTTCGCGCCCATGTAGGTATTTCCACTTTCCTTAAGATCAATTCACAAGAAGAACATTGTAAACGCAATGGCCTCATTGTGTAGCGTCGATGGTGAAGCTTCAATTGTCTTACTTATCAGAAGCGGCAAGCCTTTTACTTCCCATCGGTTACCCTCTCCACGTATGTTCGAAGACCTTTACTGAACTAGAGCGCATGCACAATCAAACCAGAACCATTATTGTGTAGTTCCGGTTTTCGATGTGACCGAAAACGCGCGGGCCGTGGGACGACATGACATGTCTAAAGCTGCGCATGGTTTAAGTGAAGGTGTTCACTGATAGGGATCAGTATTGCCGTTCCAAATTGTCGTGGCCTGAGTTTTTGATTGACATACTGTTTGTTCATTCGTCTATTCATTTCAATTTGTCTATTCGTTCCAATTCACTCCTTGGTATAAAATGTTTCAGCAAGCAACCGGAACGATGATCCTGCTGGTATACGTTGGATCAATAGTGATCTAATCGGCTTTACATATAAAATGAAGAATACAAAAGCAAAAACCGACACAACGTAGGATGATTTTTTAAAGGTGTACTATATTTCGGCTGGCCAAACCAGCCTTCTTCAGGTACAATGAAGAAGGCTGGTTTGGCCAGCCGAAATATAGTACACCTTCAAAAAATCATCCTACGTTGTGTCGGTTTTTGCTTTTGTATTCTTCATTACTCCTTGGTAAACTATAATAGGTCCAAAGTTCACCTACATCTTTCATTTTCTGTTCAACAAAGTATAGTCTGTGATTTCTTAGCCAATCACTTTCCTCTCACTCCGTCTACACGCTTAAATGTTTAACTAATGAGTTATTTTATGTCATCGCATCGAAAAAGTAAGTTATAAGCAGCAAAAATATGAGTGTCAGTTAAATCGTTGTCTCGTGTAATTTGGAGAAAACACTTTGAAGGTAATTTAAGTTTCGTCCAACACAGCAACGAGGAAAAAGATACACCCTTTTATATTTCTTACATTTTCTCTTTAATTTTAAGCTTGGTTTAGAATTCAAGTTCGTCTGCAAGGTCAGTGTCTCTGGCGTGTTATATGTCACAAATTATGCTGCAATTTACTTTTGGACGGTCTTTGATTATAACCGCTTTGTGAGCTTCTTAGTTTGATGGTGTTGTCCCATAAAGTCAATATTTATCCTACTTTCGAGGAAGAGGAATGAATTTAAGTTATTAAATGCGTTAGTTGTCTCTACATTTGTTCGATGAATCGGGAAAAACCGACAATAACGACATTGTGATACAACCCTAAAAGTACCTTCTTAAAGAAATAAAGTAACGGAACTATAGGACTTTCTCAAAAAACGTAGCTATACTAAAGCCTGAGTACTGGCAATTCTCCCTTCGCTTCACGGATTTTCTGCTTATTCTAAATAACTACCTTTGCAATGAGATTGTTTTAATCGAAGAAAGTTTCATTCCACTGAATCTGTCATCCAAGCCAGTTTTCGATCTCAATATAATTTACAACTTTCGTTACGTGGGTCTGCTTTGATTAAGACTTTCCTTAAAAACTTTTACCCCTCTTTTCTTGAAAGCGGTTTTTGATTTTTAAAAGAAAAACTTGAAGCAATTCAAAGCCATCGTTATGACAGCATAAAGATGAAGAAGTCACGAAAAATTTATTGGTCTTATTTTGCAACGCAAAATTTTAACTATGTTTTTCAAAACGAGCCTTGCATTAAGTGAGTATTGAGACAAACGTTGGTGGATGTTAGAAGAAAACGAATTTGTCGGTGTTGAGAACAATCATGTTATTTTCAAAATTCGCATGTGAAAATAAAAGGTAAGTAAACTAAAACAATATATGTACAACTTGTTTCCTTCTTAAAATACTTGAAGGGTGTTTTTATTTTAAAAGAAACACTTGGAACAGTTTAAAGCCTTCGTTACGACAGTGTAAACAGGAAGAAATCATGAAAATTAATGAAAAATGTATCTTTAGTCGATTCATATTGATACATGAGAGGATTGAATTATTTTTACAACCTATAGGTGAGTACCATACTGACAAATCTAAATTGGTTAGGATAAGAAAAAAACACATATTTTGCATGAGCGTAGAAGATTTACATTCAATCTCTCTAAAATGGAAATTCGCAAAGATAATTCGTCAGATCGCATTTAAAATGACAGCATGATTTGATGGCATTGCCAAGAAACCACTCCATATTTTTTTCTGGTATTCTTTACTGGGAGAAAATAAACCTCAAGTACTAACATAGCGTTGGATACCTTGCAGGTGCAAGCCCCTACTGACTGTTTTAATTTGGGACGATGGACGCACTGAAGTATATATTTTCTATCATGGCCTGAAGCAACTCAAAAATAATGTCTGTCAAATTTCGGCTACAGTCATCAATTCCCCAAATCTCTGTTCACTCCGTCCGCCTGTCATTCTTTCAACATAGCTTGCGTTGCAGACGGAAATTTCCCTGTAAATAATGTTGCGTCTATCTTGTTTGATTGCAGCTATATATATATTTTTAATTATCACGTATACTCTGGAAAATTTATTTTCTTTCCTGGTTAGCAATGCATAGACATACCTTTTATTTCACTTCCAAGGGTGTGCATGCCACTGTAGTGGTGGATGAGTTTACGCTTCAATAAGAACCTGTACATGAAAAGTTTGAAAAACGTTTTAAAACTGAAAAAGTTGTAATACTCGAAATATATTGAGCTGGACTCACTTTTCAGGCAAAAATAGTTAATGTTGATTGGCTGTTGAGCCCAATACGTCTTTTATCATTGGCTAAATTTAGATCTGTTAGATGTTAAAACAACTAATATTTTTGGTTGTCAGCATGTATTTGAAAAAACAAAAATAACTTTGTGTCACACAGAAAATATTTTTTGGCAGGTACTTTTAATATAACCCGCTGAACGGCCATAAACTCGATCAAAAACATTTCAAAATGTTTACATGACAATGCTACATACATTTTTCCCCTTCATACTTGCTCTTTGTCGGCTTTATTTTTTAAATTTGCAATTTCGTTTTGCTCGTGTTTCAAGTGATTAGAGCTTGTGCATCATGCAAAGTTCCTCTAGGGCGTGTAACCACAACACTGCACCACAGAAATAGACACCTTTATCTATAATTGGTAAGCCTGTAGATTGCAACTATTTGATTCTTACAGCTACACACAATATTTTGGGTAACGACTGGACTTGCAACCGTCCAGAGATATTTTGCATGTGTCTGTTATGAAGGTTAATGTACCTGAGAACTAAGAACTGTGCTATGTTGTCCTTTGAGGGGGAGGGGAATGTTGTAACGACGTATTAGTGTCCCCCTAACGAGAAAAGCGAAAAATGTTATGGCTGGCGGTACCTTGAGCAATTGCACCAGTTGTTTTCGATAATTTTCAACATTTTTGTTTAAAATGTTTATAGGTATAGTGTAGTTGACCAGGAGTCTGATGAGTTTTCGTCAGCTTTTGCTGACTGGCATATTTGGCAATAATAAAAGGCAGCGTAATGCAAACTGTTATCGTAGTTTTCTATTACTTTCCTCTCTAACAGCTCCAGTAATTAGCAATCAGGGCATAATCCAGTTGCTCTAGAAACGAGAGGAAGGCGTCAGCTGTTCTCCGACAAAATGTTTTGTTTTCCACACCAAACATTAGATTTTTAGCATTATGTTAAACAACAATGACCCAAATTTGTTACTTTTCCCAAGGTTTACCTCAAGTGATTCGAAATCTCTATGACAACCAAGTTTTGTCTGTTTCCAGTCTCCTTAAGACAAATTTGGAACCAACTTTCGGTTTACACCACGTTTTTTGATTCAAAAGACATTATGTGCTTTTCTTGCGCTAGTTTTCTAAAAGACTTTTCGAATTAATAACAAATTTCGCAAAAGACGTAAAGCTGTCATAAGCTAGTGAAAATAGCGTATTCCTTTCTTACGTGGGATGTCTTGCAGCAAGTCGCGATCAATCGATTTTTACGTGTTATCTGATCTTCTCACTGAGATGTGGGCCGAAAAAAAAAACACCTGGGTAAATCCTGATTCGTGTTTTCGCATGATCAGAAGTAATCTAAAAGTGTTTAAAGTACAGCTACATATATAAAAACCAGTCATGTAAATATACGGAAAAGAGAAAAGATCGTAGGAAAAAATTGTAATTAATATATAATTAATTATAACTAGAAGGTAGGCGGTCAATTCGATATATCGTTTAGTTTCTGACAATCGCGACAAAAAATCATCTCTAATCCATCAATTTAATTTATTGACAAGTTTTTCAAAATCTCTAACAAATGCCAAATTATTATAATTCGACCCGTTTCGCGGAAAAATATCTAAGTAGACTTGCTTGTCATAATGAGGGCATTTTTTCCGGTGTGAAGCCATATATATTTTTATCTAAGAAAGAAAGAGATTCATCTTAACTCTGTCAAAACGATTTTTCGCGAAACTGTAAATAGAAATGTATTTTACGCATAGAAGTGTGGCATAAATACCATTTCAGAACAGTTTAAAATTTTTTTTTTTTAACGAAAAGTAGATTGGAGAAATTATTGAAATAGATTATTATGGTTCGGGTCTCCCGAACGTGTTTGTTATAGATTTAATGTATATTCGTTATAAAACAGTACCATCGCTTTAATTACATGAATTTTGCTTCAGGCGAAGCTGAATCATATCAAAGGGGTTATTTGTTCAGACTAATGGAACATAAACCAAACAACACAATATGAGGCAGAATAAATTAAGACATAAAACATCCGATCGGTAGATAACGCGCTTTTGGGTCATTTATTTTCCACTTGTGTGACATTTTCGTCTGTTAGTATGAAGGCTTCACATCCTTTGTTTGTTTTTTTTTTTTTGCATCTCTGGCACTCAATCGAAATAGGTCACTGCTAAATGTTTGTGTCAAAATATTTTTGCAATAATAGAGCCAGAAGGCAAAACAAATACCAGTTTCCGAATGATTTCGGGATGTTTGCTTGAAATGTTTGTTCTTTTTAGCTTTTAGTTTACTGACGGTATTCTGACACGAACCTCTTACCATCTTAGAGGAATTGTGGTAATCTTTGATCTTCTCCCTATTTCCCCTACTAAGTAAATATGGCAAGACGGTACAGAATTCATCAACCGCTCTCCTCTCTTTTGGCCTATTCTGCGGTCTCTAAAAAAAATAATGAACGGCTTTGTTATATACATGAATCCTGTAAAACAAAAAGTATCGATTTGCATAACATAACTCTGTTAATGTGCCACGTTTGATCTATCAATATTTTAACATGGACCCGAGGCTTTAAGGAAAAAAAACTGATTTTTATTTAAAGTTTCTCCTGTCCCTCAATTCTCAAAAAAATACTTGGACGCAGAGAAAACGCCACTAAATATAGAATTTTGTCCTGAAAACCTCGGAGCTATTAATATATCGAAAGTGCTCTTTTAAGGCTTACACATAGTAGTAGAACTAGATATAGAAGTAGTCATTTTATACGGGACCATAACTATCACGCACCTTCTTGGACAATACCTTTGACAAACATTCAGATCTGATCTGAGGATCTGTTCTTTCCCCAATTTGCCGTTACCAACGATCAGGAGAAGAAGTGTTCTTTACCACCGGAGCTCTGAATATTTGCCGCCACACAAAGAGGGCTTTAGACATCATTAATATCGCGAAAAAACTGTACTACGCTTGCAGCTTGCTTTTTAGAACTCAAACTTCTCCACCGAGACTTGGTCATACATCAAGAACAAAACACAAGAAAGTTATTTGAATTGAAGAATTTGCAAAGCTGTGTTTGAGTTCGGTATAAAAAAGTTTATTGCGGTGTGATCAGTTCCGATTATTGACAATTTATATTTTTTGTTTGGCCCTTGCTAAGCTGCATGACGTCATACTGACGAGACTGCCCGCTTAGGTCAATTGCGGAATGAAAATCAGAAGGCCTTACTCGTGAGGTTTTGACTGTTGACATGGTGATATCTTTCTCATACCTGATATAATTTGCATAAGTCAGAATAGGACACTACCCGAGATACTTGAATTCAGCACCTCGTGAGCATGGTTTCGGTGAAAAAAAAAATCATAATTTAAAAAATTATTAACCGCTTACTTGCCGAACGAGAGGGCCGTAATGAGGAGTATTGGCCCGAGGTCGCGGCGGTAAGTACAAAAACTTCCGATGGCCAATATTTCCCAATTAGGCCCGAACAAGATGGGTTACTGAGTGGTTTATTAAATGGCAGGAAACAGAAAAATAAAAAAAAATTACTGACCAAGAGAGGACCTATATCAGAATATACATTTTAAGTTAAGTTCAGGATAAGCTCGACATTTGACTCAACTAAGTTCCTCCAAGTTAATTTGGATCGACCAACCACTTCTTGGTGGATTCAAATTCAGTTTAAGTTCCACATTGGACCCAACGGTCGAGTTTTGCCCGTTCGGATAAACTCCAAATTGCAATTTAGTTCGTCTCATGTGAAGTTCGACGTCTGACCTGGGCCTAAAGCGAGCACTTTTAATACTCTTTTTTCGTATACGTTACACGCCATGTATACCCTCCAATCGAACTCCGGGTGTAATTTTAGCCTTCTCTCTACATCCAACCCCGGTCAAAGAACCATTTTAACATTTAAATATCCCACCTTAATACGAACGAGAAAATTGTGCAATCAAACAATAGCGATCATAAACAACCATTTCAGTGTGGACCCAAACGTTTGAAAATTTAAATTGTAAATTATTCATGTTGTGTTATTGTGAATGAAACAGCAAGAGTCCGAGGTAAATTACGAATATACATTTACAAGATGGAATACGTTTACATATACATTCCCTTGACGTATAACCGAGCATACTGTGACAGTTCATGCATTGAAACATTTCAGTTTTTCGGTAGTCTATTCACCGTTCACGTTTAGAATTCAAGAAGAAAGAAATCTACTTTTCTCCTCACTCCTCACTCTTTGAGATATGTCCGTATATCCAGAGCTGTTATGCCAACAGCAAGAACTTTACGCTTTCTCAGGATATTGAATGGTTTTAGAATTGGGAATGTTTGGCAACCAGACACGATCAAACATTGTTTGGTGACCAAACATGCTGACGTTGTATTGAGTGGCCAGACGGTATCAATCATTTGTGCATGTTGTCGTTCAAATTTTATCGAATACGCATGATCAAACATGGCCGTCGATAAAACCTGGAGTATGGAACATCCCGGAACTTCCCGGAACATCCCGGAACATCGCGGAACATCCTTAAAAAAATATATAATAATTATGAAAAAAATATGAATTAATTTTCAACGGGCCACCTGCCCGACCTACTCTGCAAGGTAGTTCATATGCTCCCTCAGTTACTACTACAGGAAGTTAACGGAGTAACAAAGAAAATTTTAACAGTTTTCTGTTACGGTCTTTTAGTATGTCGTCATATTGTGTCCAACCGACGAAAGTA